CCCTTCTATTCAGTCCCAGTGATTTCCCAGCAACAACAATCAGATATAAGGATAGAGAAGCTGAGCTGTGGACTCTTGATTGGGGTGTGAATCCCACTAAAAATCTGGACTGTTACTTCTTGTGCTTGCTCATAGGATAAATGGACCAGGGAGGCATCTGCTTGCATGTGAGTAATAAACTGCTTCACTCGGTGAGCTTTTGAGCACTGGAGTTCCTTCTCACCACCTCACCTATGGTTTCCTCACAATCTTTTATTCTTGTTTTTCTTCAGTGTTCCCCATTGGTTTTATGTTGCAGTCTGATTTCACCCTCCATGTTCCTCTGCAGGACCTCAATGTGATATGCATTTTTAATTCCTTAGAGACTGTTATATTCTATGTTTTACTGCCATATAGTAAATTGCCAGGATGTTGGTAGGGTCATGATCTGCACTGTGATAGAAAACATAGAAACCTATGAACTCACAGATTATTTGAGTATTTGTTAATAATACTCTCATTGGTGGTAGGAGGAATAATTAGTGTGTTGGATAACAAGACCCAAAAAGATCTCCATATGATAGTGTTGGACTGGATCTACTTAGATAAATTTCTTAGAAATAAATGTAACAACTTACACTTGGGTTTAAAAAAATTAATATCACAAATACAACATGGGGGAGGGTGGAGCTAGATAGCAGCTTGCCTGAAAGAGATTTAGGGGTTTTAGGGGGTTGGCAACTGAATATGACTCAACAGTGTAATCTTTTAACCAAGAAATTTAATTCAATTTTGTCCTATATTAAGACAGGCATAAGCCCAGGACTAGAGAGGAGATAGCTCTACTTGATCAGACCAATATGGACCATATATATTGTGCTCAGTTCTGGACTCCACACTTTAGAAATGACATTGATGAGCTTGAGAAAATCCACAGGAATAAAATGAAGATGATGAAGGGTCTCAAGATCATACCATGAAAACTGGCTGAAGAAACCAGGAGTCACCAACCTGGAGAAGACTTATGGGAAACAGGAAACTATGTTCAAGTACTTGAAGGAGTGTACATTGGAAGAGGGATGATCTGTTCTGTTCTGCTAAGCTCTGGAGGACAGAACTAGGAGCAATCAGTAGAAGTTAAAGAGGGGAAAGGTTTCTAACAATTAGAACTACCCATAAGAAAAATGGGCTGCTTAGGAAATTAATGGGTTTCCCTTCATTAAAGATCAGGTCTTATAGTAAGAGCTGTATGACTGGTTTATGTGAGATCATTTTAAAAATATGATTCCATCTAGATGGACTTTTAGGTGCTATCTAACTTTGAGAACTCAATGAGTCAGATCATAGCCTATGTGTGCCTTCTTTCTCTGTGTGATATCTGTCCCTTGTACTTTGATCCTTACATCCTTTACAGAAAATCTGTTACTGAAAATCCCATGAAACAGCTAATTATTTAATTAAATAAATGCCTATATTTTTGGTGAGAACATTCTGATGGTTATTAATGATGTTAGAGATGACTTCTTATTATAAAAGGGTTACATATAGTAAACCTCTTACAAGAACTGAGATGAAAATAGTAAAATGAAAATATTTTCTGTTCACCAGCTTCAAGGAAGTTATTGAAAGACTTTTATTAGGAGTGGACTAATATTCTAACTTTTAAAGTTAGTCTTACTTTCCTTCAGTAGTCCTAAATTCCTAAGGAAATGAGTCACTGCCTGAATCAACTGATCCACTGCTTTACTTACGGTACATCTTTGTACCTTCCACAGAGTTTAACAAATGGCCTAGTAGAGTAGATGCTCAATAAACATTTGTTTCATTAGTAAGGGAATTTTCATTCTTAATAACTAATAAACTACAAAATTGGCTTTATTAAACTATGTTAATTTTTACTATCATGCTATCATTTAGTATTCCAAATGCATCTATTTAGGCATACATTTTTGTGACTAATTCAAAGAGCATAGTTCTCAAAAAAAAATTATGTACTGTAAAACCTATGTAAGAAACCACACATACTAACATATCACTTACATTAACAATAACCTATGGAACTAAAATGAAAATTTAGGTGAGTTTTCTAGATGTCTGCAAAGGACTGGAAATCAATCCTTCCTCTGATTGCTTCAACAAAATTCTTCCATCAAAGGGTGCTTTTGGTGAAAGGCATGAAAGTAAGTTTGCTAGCATTAAATTAAGCAAATTAAATGCTGTAAATGTCTGTTTATGCTGTTTTTAAATCATTTGATTTCAAATTCTTTGCCCACACAACAGATCACAAGACTGAGTCTCTTTCCTCTCAAGTCATTTTTACTGGAATTTGGTAATGACAGAACTTAGGTTTCTACTTGGTCAACTCAATTAACATAACATGGTCTACTGAGTGGCAGCATTGCCCTTTCCCGAAATTAGAAGGAAAAAATATATTTTAAAACTCCCTAGAAGATGTCTCACAAAGGAAGAAAATGCTATGTCTGTACTATAAGCCTTAATCATTTAGTAGCTGTGTGGCCATGGCTCTATCACTGTCTAGTAAAGACAAGGTCATAACTCTTGAAGAAAATAGGTCAGTCTTAATGGAAACATTATAACTAGCATGGGAGAGTTTTATGAAAGACAAAATAAAAGAAGTTAAATAAAAGATTCAGGGTTACTTAACTGTTTTCTTTTAAAAACTAGCTTCCAATAGGCAGCTGGTGGTGCAGTGGATAGAGCACTGGGCCTGGAGTCAGAAAGACGTGAGTTCGAATATGGCCTCTAACACTAACTTGCTATGTGACCCGGGACAAGTCACTTAACCCTGTTTGCCTCAGCTTCCTCATCTGTCAAATGAGCTGGAGAAGGAAATGTATCTTTGCCAAGAAAACCCCAAATGGGGTCATGAAGAGTTGGACAGGACTGAAAGCCCTGACAGTAGTAACAATAGGCTTTCAAGAAAGCATCAAATTGAAACCTAATCAGCCTATGTAACAGAGATAAAGTCAGCTATAGCTCTAAGAGGTATCCAGTATAATTTTGAACCAAACCAAACCAACAAATGAAAAAACCACCAAGATTATTTGGAATGGGGAACAATTAGACATTTGCTGCACTTCTAGACAGCTTGACATTACTACGAAATGATATAAGTAGTCTAGACACTGCTTTCCTGAAGGGCTATAGGAATGTGCTTTCTTATGTGAAAATTCCCTGCCTTCAGAAAGAATAATGGAAGAGTTCATGTACATTGATGTAATCAGTCATCCATTAAGATTTTACACATTTCTCAGAATATTTTAAAACCCCCCACAATGTTGCCCAAACTTACTGACTCTCCTAGCTTCATATACCCTTATCAGTCTTCTAACTTTGTAGATTTAACTTCTCTACATTTTCAAAATGTTATAATTCTTCAGCTATACTTGGGATTGAAAAGCTTAGCTATGAAATCAGTTGGTTTATCTATAGGGTCTGTTTCTCTCCTTATGGCTATATGTAATAAAGAACAATATCTTGACTAAGCAAGAAAGTAAGTCAGTTCTTCAGCAAAGGTGAGGAAACTGAGGTACAGAGAGATTAAATGACTCCCAAAATCATATACATAGTAAGTAGAAATGTAGGTGCTTGAACCTATCTCTTCTGACTCTGATTCTTTTTTTTGGGGGGGGGGAGTTGGGCAATGGGGTAACCCATTGACTTGTCCAGGGTCAAACAGCTGGTAAGTGTTATATGTCTTAGGCTGGATTTGAACTCAGGTCCTCCTGAATCCAGGGCTGGTGCTCTATCCACTACGCCACCTAGCTGCCCCCCTGGCTCTGATTCTAATGTCATTTCCATTACACCATGATCCTGAGAATGAAGATTTAAGGGATCTCAGAAGTCACTTAATTTAATACAAACCATGAATCCTATCTTCAACATAGTGAATTCAATTTAATTCAGTTAAGCTTGTTGTGGTTCAATCATTTTCAGTCATGTCTGATTCTTCTGGCAAAGATACTAGAGGGGTTTGCCATTTCCTTGTCCAGCTCATTTGACAAATGAGGAAACTGAGGCAAATACAGTTAAGTGACTTGCCCAGGGTCACACAGCAAGTAAGTGTCTCAGGCTGCATTTGAACTCAGGTCTTCCTGATTTCAGACTTTGCTACTCTATCCACTACTGCAGCTAGCTATCATACATTTATCCCTCAGTGCCTGAATCACCTGCCATATAATAGGTGCTTATGTGTCAGATGAGCCAGGCACCAAGCAATAAAACAAATCCAAAACAAAACAGTCCCTGATGTTGAGATTATAATCAACTAGAGGCAAAAATAACTTATACACAGAGAAATAAGTACAAAATACATATGAAATAAACACAAAGTAATTTCTGAGACAGAACTAACATTTGAGGAAATCAGGAAATCGTTTTTGTTGGATGTGAGATTTGAGTTGAACCTTAATGGGAGCTAGAGATTCCAAGAGGTGAACAAGTGGGGAGGGTGCATTCTTGTATGCAAAGGAGAGATGGAATGTCATGCATTGGATGTAGCAAGTAAGTACATTCTCTGCATGAGGGAGTGTAATGGATGGATCCTCAGATGTCTGCTGATTTTGCTGTTCATCGTATGAAATAAGGAGGAAATACATTTTAAACACGCATAAACACTATCTAGACAGTTTTTGGACATTAAAAGATAACTTCTTCCCTCATGAAATATATGAGGATAGCCCTAAAGGATAAAACTGGGGCTTTTTCTTCATTGTTTTCTTCAGAAGATTCACTCAGTACACTGCCCCTCAGGAATTAATAACATAATGAATTCTATTCTTGCTCCAAGAATTAGAAATGAATAAGGGCAGCTGTAACATTTCTTGACTTGAAACCTAAGGTCATAAGGACCCTTCAGGGTGTGAGTTACATGCTAGAGATAACTGAAATATATTATTCCAAAACTCTAATGTTCTGAGGCCTCATTGATGTGGGTATTCACTCCAAGTACCGAGTTCACAACCCATTACTCACTGAGTTCACAAGACACCCATACTTACCAATCTAAGTGCCTCTTGTCCATGTCCTACCAGAAATTTTCCACTGAGGTTCTTCTGAATGAGCTGGGTGCCTTTCTTCAATTCTCTTCACATTGTGTGAAACCAATGGCGCACAAGGTCAGCCCCTCATTCCCACTACGTGACCAAGTCCATCATTTTTCCCAGTCATGCATTTCTTCAATGATACCATTTACGTGACTTCTCTTGAATAATTCTTCATTTGTAATGTACTGCAGCCTGCTCATTCATACTATATTTCTCTCCCACAGCTTCAATGCTGTGCCATTCAGCATTTTTATGAATTAGAAAAATTATAATCCACAACTTTAATATTTCAAAGATTTATGTCCACAATTCACAGCCATACAATATGCCTGGAATGATCTGTAAATTCATTATTAAACTAGCCTATGCAAAGGCACAAAGAATGAGTAAATAAATGGCAAATAAATGGCAAAGGCTCATGGGGCCCTTAGAAGGTTTATTCCACCGAGTAGTTGCTAGCAGAACGATACTATTTGTATTTAGTATTCAACTACCTGTGCATATTAAAAGTAAAATTACAAGGGTCATCAAATTTTATATTTAAAGTGTGTGGGGGTAATCAGCATATTGCAAGAAGATGTAAATCAAGAAAAAATGCCTTGCTGGTGCTATGTTCCACAACTTTTGAAGGGTATAAATGTAGTTGTTTGTTTTTTTCATCTTTCCTCCTATGAGTATCCATTGTAATCTACTATATGTATTAAAACTCAGATTGAATTTTTTCTATCCCATTACGATTTAAATAATTTAAAATAACCTAATAAAACTGAGAAATGAAGGCTTTCCTCCAAAGGAGATAACTAAGTATAATAACTCTTTTGAATGACTACCATATAGAGATTAATAATTTAGATTTAAACTTTTGAAAGCATTTTCACATTAGCACTTTATCCTTAAAGTATAAATGTTGTAACTTAACAAATGAGAAAATTAAGATATAGAAAGTTTTTAGTGGCAATGGTGGCACTAGAGTTTAATCAATTCATCAATCAAGCATTAGTTAAGTGACAGCTACTGTGCTAAGCACTATGCCAGGTGGTGGGGATACAAAAGCAAAAGCAAATGGTCCTGGTGCTCTGGGAGCTTGACGCTCTAATGTGGGAGATAGCAGATACATATACAGGTTTATACAAAATTCATATAAGTTAGCTACAAATGTAATGGGGGCGAGGAGGATTGGTTAATAAAGGTTCAGCCTTTGGAACATAAGCAGACGTTCCTTGCCTACCTCACTTATTTGTCAGTCATATCTTGCTTTATAAGTTACCAGGCAAGGTCTCTTGTGGATAAGAGAGACTAGATGACAGTACAGCTGTGTGGATTCCGAAGAGGTGAAATACCAGGATGCAAAGGCCAAAGGCAATGTGACGGCATCTGTAGTGGAGTGCCATGGGGATCTGGGCTTTCTTTCCTGCTGTTCAGCATATTTAGGAATGATTTTGGATGAAGAAGGAGATGGCATACCTATCAAATGTGAAATAGAAACAAGGTCAGGATAGCTGACAAACTGGATGACAGAATCATGGTCCAAAAAAGATCTCAAAAGGCTAGAACAATGGACTGAAATTAATAAAAATTAATTTTAACAGGAATCAATGTAAACTCCTACACTTGGATTTTTAAAAAAACTTCATAAATACAAAAGGATATGGCAGACTGTAGAGGGACCCTGGGTTCTTGCAGGCTATGTTAGTAAATTCTGGCAAGTTCCACCAAGCTGGAAATACTGAGTATATGCCTGGTGACTCTTCTGTTACTGTCATCTCAGGATGAGCCCAGTCAGGTTCCAAGAGGCTTGTCATCAGAAAGCAGACTAAAAGGTAATAAATGACCTTTTTGGCCAAGGAGGCAGTTAGGTGGCTCCGTGGACAGATCACCAGATCAAGAAGACCTGAGTTCAAATCCTGCCTCAGACACTTGCTAGTTGTATGAACCTGTCCAAGTCACTTAACCCGTTTACCTCAGTTTCATCAACTCTAAAATTCGATAACAGTGGCACCTACTTCTCAGGATTGTTGTGAGGATCAAATGAGGTGATATTTATAAAGTGCTTAGCACAGTGCCCAGCACACAGCGGCATATAAATGCTTATTCCTTTATTCTCTTCCCACTCCTCAGTAGCAGAAGCAGATAAAGAATAAGTTTTTTTATGTATATTTTTACTGCTATCCCATATGCCTCAAAGGCTCTCCCTCCTCACCTTTCGGACTCCTGGTTCCCTGGCTCCCTTCAAATCCCACACAAAATCTCACCTTCTCTAAGAAATCTTTTCAAATTCCCCTTAATGCTAGCACCTTCCCTCTGTTGACCATCTCCAATACATGCTGTTCATATCTTGGTTTTTTGGGGTTTTTTTTTGTGAGGTAATTGGGGTTAAATGACTTGCCCAGGTCATAGCTAGTGTCAAGTATCTGTCACCAGATTTGAACTCAGGTCCTTCTGACTCCAAGGATGGAGCTTTATCCACTGTGCTACTTAGCTGACCCCATATCTTGTTTTCACATGGTTGTTTGCATATTGTCTCTCCCCCATTAGACTGTGAGCTCCTTGAGAGGAAGGATTATTTTCTGCCTTTCCTTGTATCCTCAGCTCTAACCGCTTAATAACTGATTCTTCTCCCTCTTCACCTTTGTCTTTTAGCTTTTTTCAAGACTCAGTTCAAATTCTACCTTCTGCAGGCCTTTCACAGTTCCCTCCCCCTGCTAGTGACTCACCACCTTCCATTTACACTGTATATATCTTTTATGTATAATTTTTTGCATGTTGTCTTCCCCATAAAAAATGTAAGCTTCTGGGGGCAGCTAGGTGGTGCAGTGGATAGAGCACCAAGCCTGGAGTCAGGAGGACCTGAGTTCCAATCTGGCCTCAGACACTTGACACTTACTAGCTATGTGACCCTGGGCAAGTCACTTAACCTTGATTCCCTTGCCAAAAAAAAAGAATGCGAGTTCCTTGAGGTCACATTTTTGCCTCTCTTTATACCACCAGCACTAAGCACAGTGCCTGGCACTTACAAAGTACTTAAGAAATCCTTGTTGATTGATTTATTGATTATTGATCAGTCCTGATTTTGGGCCTTCAAGAAGCCTAACACAGGCAGCACTAAATGGGAAAAAGAAAAAGCAAAGCACAGACATAGCAAAAACAAAACTAAACACTGTAATGCCTGTCCCTCCCCCAACTCCTGAAGGAGCAATTGAACATGAAAGTACAAAGACAAATATCCAAGCCTTCACCTTTCCCTGCTTGAAAGGACTAAGTCCCAGATCTAAATGATCAGATCCATGAGGTGAGTGCTGCCAAATCCCCTGGTAGTGCATAGTTGACATTGGAATGAGGTCAGTCAGCAGTTGACAAAAGAAGATTTACTTAGGCACAGCAGAAAAATATTCAACAAGGTCATGTAGAGAGGGCTTACCGAGCTGATTTAGCAGAGCAACGCCCCTCCCTCTCTAATTGGTCCGTCATGGCCCTTTAGTCAAGCATCAGATTATGCCTGGAGTTCTACTTTTTTTAACTTTGGCAATCAGGAAGTAATGAGCCTTTGGTTCCCTGAGTCAATTAAGTCTCAAGAACAGTTTTAATAACTTTTAAGGAGAAATCTCTCTAACTTGCAAAGAGGCAGATGGTTGGGATATTGCTCACACTACACCCTTACAGGCTACCACATCACTGGTAGTACAGTCTCCCTTGACTGGAGAGCAAAGATTGTCTTTACTTCTGTATTTGTATTCCAGGAGCACATATTGGCACTGTGAAGGTGAATGGAATAAACTCACCTATAAAATGAAAGCTGATAGAAGAATGGATTTGAAACCAGGATTCAACAACATGTTGTTTATAAGAGGTACATTCAGAATAGACAAACACACACAGAGTTAAAATAGGGGGCTAGAACAGAAGCTATCATGCTTTAGCTGAAGTTAAAAAAAAAAGTAAAAAACGCTGAAGAGGTAGCAATTATGTTCTCTGAAAAAGCAAAACTAAAAATAGACCTAATTAAAAGAGATAGGGAAACTAAATTTTGTTAATAGGCACCATAAAATACATTTTGAATGACTAGGCTGGGTATATGCCAGGAATGCAGAGATGCCTTAATATTAGGAAAACTTTAAGAATAATTGACTATATCAATAAAAAATCATATAATTATCTCAATAGATGCAGAAAATGACTTTTTACAAAATATAACACCCATTCCTATTAAAAACACTAGAAAGCATAGCAACAAATGGAGCTTTTCTTAAAATGGTAAGTAGTATCTATATAAAGATAAGAGCAAACATTATCTTCAAAAGGGTATCAACTAGAAGCCCTTCCAATAAGATCAGGGGTGAAGCAAAGATGTCCATTATCACTATTATTATTCAGTATTGTACTAGAAATGCTAGCCATAGCAATAAGCATTGTTATGGCACATGGTAAGAGCTTATTAAATGCTTTTTCAGTCAGTCAACCATTCTTCCATCCATTCTTCCTCCTTTCTCCAAAGTGATTAATACCTTTATGTTTTTCTGTTCTCTTGGTCAAATTTTTTTCTCAGTCTTTCTTCACAGTGAGGTATGAACATGAATAAAACATACACACACACACACACACACACACACACACACACACACACACACACACACACACACCCCAAGGAGTAGAAGTCAATCATCAGAATTTTCCCAGCCCCACTTAAAACCTACACAACACCCCTGGTTTCCTATTCTGACTGCACATAAGAATGACACTGGCTAAGCCAGAAAAATAAGCTTCTTTTGGCAATACAATTTCAAAATATGTTCTGATAGTTGGCCAGTTTGAGGCCAGGTGCTTTCACTTATTGGAAGTGAATCATTTACTTTCTATAAATCACAGCTCTTAACATCTTTTATAATAAAGAGAAAGCTGAAAAAACACAGCTGCTGTTGTCATGCTAAGAGACAAAACAGTCTTTTAACACTCATTAGCATCTATGTTATCTCTAGGCTTGTAGTCAAGCTTCCTTTTCCTTCACTGATTTGGTCCTTTTCCTTCATGTTCTTTTTCTACAGCTGATCAAAATCAAAACCTAGCATTCCAATGAATTATTGCTAACAGCATAAATAAAATTTCACTGGAAGACAAAAAAGTGTTATTGAAGCAAGAAGTTACAAAAATACTAAAATTATCATATCTCCTTCTGAGACTCTGGGAACTGAGTGAAATTGAAAACCAAAAAAGGGGGTTAAAAAATTCAAATTTATATCTATACTTACTTAAGCCAGGCACAGAAGGGTACTTATTTCTAGACTGCATATAGGTAAAACAAGGATGCATGGAATCAAGCCCCTTCAAACATCAGGAAACTTCAAATATTAAAGTCTCTTGTTTCTTACAAAAACTTTTTGATAAAATGTCACACTGAATTTAATAATACATAGAAAGAGAATGACCTTGAGAAAATATTCTAACATTGTTAAAACTTTCATAACAATGCCCCTTTCTTCCCAAAACAACAGCAGCAGCAACAGAAGCTTGCTACAAGTTAGAATCCAATTGCTTCAGTTACTTTATTCAAATGAAACTTTAATTACAAAAATATAAAAATCTTTCTGAAGAACTGGAATCAATTGTTTCTAGAACAGGACCCCCCAGTTTGTATTAAAATATAATTGTTTAAAAATCTAGGAATGACAAAAACAATCAATAGTTGAAATAGTCTCGCTCTATGTTGTTACTGTGTGGTTGAAACTCTTCAGATTTGTTTAAGAAAGATAATTATCTATAGAGATTTATATTGAATGAAATCTTCCCATCACGGAGAAACTTCTACCTCGGAGAGCTACTTTCATGGGCTCTGTCCCTGTGGGACTGCCAACCAAAACCACTACTTGAGGATGGACTCCAGACATGTTTCACTTCATTTGCCTTACTTCTCCTCCTTGATAGCGACCTTGTCCTTACTGTAGAGTCAATTCTCTTTACGCACACCCCTTCCAATTTTACTTCCTCCCCTCCCTTCTAGTTTTCCTTTATGTATTGCCTTCCATTAAAATGTAAGTTCCTTGATTGTATGTATGTGTTTGTTTATGTGTGTGTATGTGAATGTATCTGATTGTGCTTAGAACAGTACATGCTGTATAGTAAGTGCTTAATGTTTTCCCTTCCTCTCCTCCTTCCTTTCTCTTTCTTTCTTTCTTTCTCTTTATTCTCTCCTCTCTCTCTCTCTCTCTCTCTCTCTCTCTCTCTCCATGTAAAAAAAAATGATACCCATTTCACATACTGGAGGATATTCTGAATTACAGATTATTTTGTACAATCGTATTTTTTACTATGTAGTTTTGCCAGGATTCAAAGTCAAGCCTGCCAGTCTGTAGCTTGCAGACTTCATTCTCTTCTCTTTCTTGCAAATAGGGACAAAATTGTGCATCTCCAATCCCATAGTACCTTTCTCATTTTTCATGAATTTTGTCTATGGCTCAGTAATCACAGCTTCC